TGTGTGTGTGAGGTGTGTGTGTGTGATTGTGTGGGTGTGTGTGTGATTGTGTTGGTGTGTGTGTGTGTGTGTGTGTGCGTGTGTGTGTATGTGAGTGTGTGTGCGTAAGCATGTGTGTGTGTGCGTGTTTGTGTGTGTGTGTGTGCGTGTGAATGTGAGAGTGTGTGAGCGTAAGCATGTGTACATGTATGTGAAGACTTTTGATTTAACACATTGTGTTTGAATCAGCAGACAGACATGGTCACCTGAGCCAACAGTGGCAAAAGGCCATAAAACAAGACACTGTCTTTAATGTGTGTGAGTCTGTCTTTCTGATTTCATACTGTGCTAACAGGGTTATATGGCAGGGGAAAGATATCAGACACACTGACATAAAAACCTGGTTCACTACAGATCTGCGACATCAAGCAGGAATTTTGGAAGCTTTGTCCAACTTATTTCTGAACACAATGTTTAGATTAGAAGAAGTATGCTTTGTGTTGGTCTGTGATAATAATTCCTAAACTGGGACATGATATGGGCAAAAGTTTGTGAGTAAAGAGACTCTTTCTGCACACTCAGCCAAGTCTTTTATTCAGCCGATGTTTCGGTGACCGTCTGTCACCTTCCTCAGGGCACATTGCACTGCAGCACAGGTGTCGCTGCCTTAGATACATTTCCAAATGTACAATATTTACATATCTACACATATCTTTAATCACTGACAACAGTTTTGTATATAGCCAACTCCTGTACTGATTCACACTGATCTTTCACAAAAGTACAAATATGTGCTTCAACCACTAAAATCGCAAACCACATAAAATCACTTACCACTTGTAAAACGTAACATGTTTCATTGAAATAATACATTTAAAAATAATTTTCTGAACTCCAGTAGAAATTTAGAAACCAGCATGCTCGCACAGGGGGCGTACATACATGTAAGACTGTGACAAGATCATTCTGACTTTTAGACCTTGAACTTTTTGAATGAATGAATGATTAAACCGGTTTGCTGCTCAGGTTCACCATTTATGTCAGAGTGCCAAGGGACTGCGTTTCATGTGGTTTTTGTGGTTTTGGCACCGGAGAAAAAGTACACTCGAAACTTGCCATAAAATGTGACTTGTGTAGACTTGGCAGAAAGCGACCCTCCCTTCCACGACCTTGTGGTTAACTATTTGACCTTGGCAGGGTTTGAAACCAGTGCACCTAGCCCAAATATTTTAGGTACAAGGAAAAAAACCAGCCCAGAAAGGAACAAGAAACAGCCATGCCTTCAAATATCAGAGTTATCAATCAAGAATTGAGGTTTTCAAAAACTTGTATTTTCCTAGAACTATCGTAGACTGGAACTCGTTGCCACCAAGCATAGTTGGGGCATCATCACTAGAAAGCTTTAAACAACAGTTACTCCTCCAATTAAATGTGCAAAGATTGAGTGTAACAAGTCGTTCGGTGTGATATAGCTAGCTGCCGCCGCGCCGCGTGCCTGTGAAGCTGGTGTGTTACGCCAGAGGTCGATACAGGTGCAGAATGTAAGACAGAATGTCAGCAGAACCTAGTGACAAAACGTACTGCCTGTCTTTAGGGCTAGTAGGGATCTGCAATGCTATAAATAATACTCGAAACTTTAAGGTAACATCTGCAAAGCAAATGCATAATGTTAACCTTCGCATGTGGTCTGCTCTGTTAATTCTTACTCAAACATAATTATAATGGTCTAAATCCCTCCTGCTACAAAATTGCAACATTATGTAACCCAACACCAGTTACCGTGGTGGCAGACCTCTGGTTCAGGTCATTGACCTTATTGGTTTTCAGAAGAAGAGGAGGAAACAGAACAGAAACAATGTTCAGAAACAATGTTTTCCTTCAATAAACATATTTGATAATAAGTGATATTTATGGGTGGTACCCAATAAATAAAGGGACCTACTATGTAGGTTGTTTTGGGGGTATTTCAAGCGCTTGAAGTATGAAATAATGACAAAAATGTGCTAAGAAACGGCAGTACATGTTAATATCAGACAGATTTTCTCATCCAGGATATTTTTTTCTCTGCCACCCTGAGACTGCATTGGATGCTTTAGATTTAAACACCTTGGCCATGATGCAAAAATGGACAGACAAAATGGTAGATTGCCAAATCGCAGACACTATCTGAGTTATGGCAAAGCTAAATCAGACAGGCAGCCGAAACAGTCCTGCCAGTATTCAGCAGGCATCAAGTTACTTTGGGTTTGAGTTGAGTTTTTTTTAGGTCCACAATTAGGCACATAATTATATAGAGGCTATTCTTCCTGTGGTCTATACATTACATTTATATACATGCAAAATGTGTTAAATGTGTTACATGTAGTACAGGAACGTACAAAACATTACAAAGTTAACAGTACAAAAATGTATGTAGCACACTTAACACAATTCCTTAAATAAACTATTGTATCAATTATAAGTAAGTTGCGTAATTTTGTTTCTTACTTTTGTTGTAATTTGGACTGAGTTGATATTGATGTAAATGGCTTTTGTTTGCGGTTTTCCCCCCCAGGGCACATTGAAATTTTTTTAAGCACCGTCAGGCGATTTGTATCCCCTGGTGAAATAAATAAAACAAACAAACAGACAAACAAAAAAACAAAAAGCTAGGTAGAATTGTTTATTATGAAAATGTGATCTCTCATGTTTTTTTACGTTTTTTCTCGTCATAAATTCGAGAAATGTGTTGTCACGACAATAGACTACATTATGTCAACATTGCGCAAGGCTAAAACTCGTCTTTATAAAGTACGAAAGTGGCCTTATTTACAACTTGACCCTTCCGATCGTCAGTTATACAAGACAGATGTGCAAGTTTGCCATTAATCATTTCAACAGACTACTGCTACGGTAGGGAGGGGCCAAATGTCAGGCCGAGGAAAAGATGTTGTGTTTCCTGTTTCAGTCCTGAAAAAATTAGGGTCGGTAGGTAGGGATTATCTTTTTTTTTCTTTTTTTTTTAATTCTTTGTCTGCTTAGCACTCAGCACATATGAGAAAGAGTGTGGGAAGGTCAAACACACAGCACTACCAGCGGACTAGCCCCCTGCTGTAGTGCTTGCACAACTGTGTGTCACCCAAGGGCTACGGAAATGGACATGGGCACCATCCTACGCTCTGCATAAGAGCATGGGAGACCTTCTTGTTTTTAATTAGACTTTGGTAGTGACCCAACTTATCCAGTACACTTGAACAAAGTAAAGCTTGCACGAGGACACTTATATTTTCAATGTCAATGTTGGAAAACTGATTGTAAAAAGCTTTATCACTCAGCTGTCAGATCATGGAGCTAGAAAAGGTTGATGAGCTCGAAAAATTACAAATGTATGTCACTTGCAGGGTTCCACAAAAAAAAAAAAGGCTAGGGCTGTAACCTCCATAGCAGGCTTATAGAACTGGGGGTTTGGTGGTCTTCGGCTGTTTTCTGATTAGCTCAGTTCTAACAACAACCAGGCCGGCTATGTTGTCTATATGCAATCAGAAAATAGCACATAAAAGCTCCCAAAGACCCTGAAGACCCACAAAACCCCCAGTTTTTGGCATGCTATGTAGGCTAAGGGTCGACAGGTTTTTCTAGGGTCGGTCGGGAAGCAAGAAACACAACATTTTTTTTCCCAGGCCTCAGCTTGGCTCTCCGCTGGTAGCCAGAAATTTTGTCTGTTCTCTATCCAGCAAAAGAATACAAGATTAGTGTCGCCACTTTGAGTTAAAGACAATATGGAAGACCTGATCTGGCCAATATAGCACCTTTTCTTGGCCAAAAAGCGTAAATTAGCTAGACAAGTTGCTTTGGGGGAGTCGATTTTCAAATCATCACTTTGAACTTGAAACTGGCTCCACTTGTTGAGAAAGTTGGACTCATTCCAAGTCTGGTTTTTGGTGGGAGAAACAGATTCTTAAAGGACTGTTCCAGAAACATGGTTTTGGTTACTGATTACGAAAGCGAAATTAAACGTTGGAAAAAGCAAGGCTTTCACCAAGAGGAGACAATGTGAACTAGAGTTCCACGATATCATACCTTCGTCAACTATCATGAAAGTTCATCTGTGTTGGTAGTTACATGTTTAAAGTTAAAACTTTTGGTCCAACACAAAAAAGTTCTCTCCCCTATAGCTTTCGACCAATCATTCAGACTTCCTCAGTAGACTGACCCAGTGAAGCTTGTCACGTGGCTTCTTTGAAGTGTGATGCGATGGGGGCCGACATTGTCTACCAGATAACTTTGACCCAGTGTTGACGTCACACTTCAAAGAAGCCATGTGACAAGCTTCACTGGGTCAGTCTACTGAGGAAGACCAGAGTGACTGGTCGAAAGCTCTAGGTGTGAGAATTTTTTGTGTTGGACCAAAAATTTTAACTTTAAACCTTCATCAAATGATGTTAAACTTTGTAAGGCCCCTTAAGCCGCATAGTTGATATCTGATTCAGTTTATAATTTTCTCTACCCAAACATCACAAGTTGTCTAAACTTTGAAAGTTTTGACTGTATAACTAGAAGAACTGTATCATGATCAGCCACTGTTGCCACAGACTGCTGTAGTAGTTTTAGAAGGTCACTTGTGTTAAGTTGTTTGGCATCGTTTTCAATGTTTGCCCCATCTTTTAATGTTAGAGGTGTGGCTCACATAGTGCGAATGACGAAGTCGGATACGTACACAGACCCGAGTATTTGTTGTACGTACGATCAGCTCTAAACGGTCGCGACCTGGAAATTCTTCCCACCGCAGGCGGAACATCTGCCGTTAGAGGTCGTTCACAGTCTCCCAAGGTCAAATTCAAGGGAGCGTGCCGGAAATTGGACACGTCTGTTTTCAGGGTTCCCAACTTGACCTGCCCTACTTGTGAATGTACAAATGCACTCTGTCCTTTCTTCTGCTAACTTAGGACACACCAATTTCATCCCTTGGTTCTCAGAGTCCCACATTATTTCTGACAAATAGATGTGAGTAGCCATTGTGTTCCAAGTTCTTGAAGTTTTGATTGATCTGAGGCCACACCAATTTAATTTCTTGGTTGACGGATTTTTTTAGAAAAAAATGGAATGGACGTGCGAAAAAAAAAAAAATGAAAACAGGCCTAGGCATCCTATTATGGCCCAAAATGGTACGATAGGAGCCATGAAGTCAACACACCAGGCAGGTTCAAATTTTAACAATGAATTTTTAGCTTTTAATGATACCATTACAATGAAAGATGGAATAACTGTAACAACTAGGAAGAAAAGGACTGTTTTCAACTGTTCAGGGCAAAATATGAGCATTTTGCAGTTCATTCTGAATTTTTTTCTTTTTTATAACTTCCCTTCAGCGTAACACACCAGCTTCTGTATCTGTATAGCCGGTAGAACCGCCCTTCGGCGTAACACAACAGCTTCTGTATCTGTATAGCCGATATAACCGCCCTTCGGCGTAACACACCAGCTTCTGTATCTGTATAGCCGGCATAACCGCCCTTCGGCGTAACACACCAGCTTCTGTATCTGTATAGCCGGTATAACCACCCTTTGGTGTAACACACCAGCTTCTGTATCTGTATAGCAGGTATAACTACCCTTCGGTGTAACACACCAGCTTCTGTATCTGTATAGCCGGTATAACCACCCTTCAGTGTAACACACCAGCTTCTGTATCTGTATAGCCGGTATAACCGCCCTTCGGTGTAACACACCAGCTTCTGTATCTGTATAGCCGGTATAGTAGTACACCAGCTTAGCAAGTTGGCCACCGTTCAATGCTACAATGTTGACACCAGGGCCTAAGCCTGGACTTGCCAGATTCTGCACATGTGTGCAACTTTGCCCATGAACTTGACTGGTTTAGTCTGAACTCGTTCAACCCTGACTCTCCTCTATACAGTACTACTGTTTTGCAGACCTTGTATCTTCTCCAAGTTCACATGTAGGTTTTTGAACTTGACTTTGAAATGTTATCAAATTTTAAGAGTCAGAACTGGTGGGGTCGTGTGGTGCAGTCGGTAGCGCGTTCAGCTCACACCTAAGAGGTCCCGGGTTCAAATCCTGCCCATGTCACCGATCTTGTGCCCTTGGGAAAGGCACTTTATACGACTTTCTTTACCTCACTCAGGTTTAAATGAGTACTTAGCTTTGGTTAGGGATGTCCCTCGGATAGGATGTTAAATAAAGGTCCCGTGTTTGGGGAGAGACACACCTTCAGCATGTTAAAGATCCCACCGCACTTATTGAAAAGAGTAGGGGACCTTCCCGGTGTGAGTGGTTCAAACCTTACAGTCCGGTCTTACACAGCTTGTACTTATTGTACACAACTGGTGTGATACAGTCCGTAAGGCAGTGTACCAGTAATGCAAACAAAACAAACAAAAAACAAAAAAAACTTACACTGTTCCAGTGTGATACAGTCCGTGAGGCATATAAGGCAGTATACCTGTAATACAAAGAAACAAAACAAAACAAAACAAAACAAATAAAAACTTACACTCCTCCAGTGTGATACAGTCTGTAATGCAGTATACCAGTAATGCAAAGAAACAAGCAAAGTTGAACAAACTTAAACTCCTCTTTCTTTCGTCCCCTCCTCCACAGGTGTCATCCATGTCTTGAAGAATCTTAAGAAGCTGCCTTGACAATATGAATAAGGGGACAGCTTCCAGTTACCATGATGACGATTTGAAGGCTGGGACAGCCTCCAGTGCACAACAGATGCAGTAGGATCACCATCTTTATTGTGAAGGGCCACTCCAATTTAATGTCTTGGTTCTCAGGCATTTGAAGTAAAGGTTTAGCATCAAGATGAAAATCTGGGGGCTGAGGGTAAAATTTGAATTCAAGTATATCTTCTGCTTAAAACTGAGTGTATCAGTTAGGTACAGGCTCAGTTTTCATGTAAAATTTTCAGGTCAGCATGGTTTTTGTGAATCTGAGAACCAGAAAATTGAATTGGTATGGCCTTCTCATGTAAAAGTCAGTTTTTGTTCAGTTCTTACTTCTCGTTTTTTTGTTCAAAGTTCATTTTGGGTAATATTACTTCTTACCTTTGTACATTTGCCAGTCTTGCAGTACAGGTATATATTATCTGCATATTAAGATTAAAAACATGAATACTAGTCTTTTAAGATGTTCACACTGTCCAACAAAAGGCTCCTTCAATAAGACAAAAAGAGCCAAAGAGGAAGACTACATTTTGTTGCTGTCTCTAATATAAATTATAAGCTGCTGACAAAGTTTTTTTTGTCTTTTAGTGTCTTTGTTAACCCATGGCCAAGGTTGGTTTATTATTAAGTCATGGTATGCACAAATGCTCATAGATTTTTGGTATAAGGTTTGACGGGGCTCAGTAATATTATACGGTGAAAAGAAGGTGTAGAATAATATTAACCAGGCCAAATAGTGTCTTAAAATTAATATGCAGAGTTTGATGCAGCAGTGTGAAACATATAACTATGTACATGTAATACTAATAATATGAAATATTCTTGAAAGTGGTTGAAACATACATTTGTACATGTAAACTTGCTACCGGTAAGTTCGTAGAGTCTAAACCACACAGTATTTGAAGTTGTAAAATCATGTAAAAACTCAAGAGAGATACGCGACTCGATAAAAACATACCAACTGGTATGGGAAGGAAAATTTTAAGGAAACAGTGTTAGTTACCACATGGAAAAAAAAAAGAATAAAAATTTTGTCTTCTGGTGACATCTCATACTTGGCTTTTGTTATTTATTTGGGAAATTCTTTACATCATTTCTTTGACACAACTATCGAACAGAATTCACTAAAACATCACAATATAAAAGGGAGAATTATCTTGCATTTGCTGGCAAATATTGGCTAACTTCAAACTTTTCATCTTTATTTGGTTAATTATTCGCATCATTTCTTTCACACATCTATCAAACAAACAAAAATCTAAAGCAACATTAAAAAGGAGAGTTATGTTGCATTTGCTTGCAAATGTTGGCTAACTTCAAAGTTTAATTTTAATCTTTATTTAGGAAATTATTCGCATCATTTCTTTCACATCTATCAAACTGAAGCAGCATTTTGTACAATAGAAACGGAGAATTTGCATTTGCTTGCAAATGTTGGCTAACTTGGCTTTCTACTTGACCTCGGGTAACCCCTAGTTCCTGATCCTTGCTGGCTTCTTTAAGATTCCTCCGGCGAAGTTCTTATTACACGTCTTTGCAGGTGGCTTTTCTTCCTCTCGAAGGAATTCGCTCCAGTGAAAAGCCAAAACTTCCTAATCCAAAACTTGTGGCTCGATCGGTTAGCTGCCCTGCCTCTTGGCAACGGACTGAAAACCTGGGGGTCGTGGGTTCAAATCCGTTACTTCCACACTGGAAGGGAATACAGATTGGGGATTTGGTAGTTTGGATAGGATGTTAGGCATTCAAAGCCCGACTTAAGGACGAGTTCTTAGTAGGCTATTTGAGTGTGTGATGCTACACTGTGTTTTGGACCCCCTATGTTGTGATTTGGACCCCCTATAATGTGATTTGGACCCCCTATGCTGTGATTTGAACCCCCTATGCTGTAATTTGGACCCCCTATGCTGTAATTTGGACCCCTATGCTGTGATTTGGACCCCCTATAATGTGATTTGGACCCCCTATGCTGTGATTTAGCCCCCTACGCTGTCTTTCAACCTGTTTTTTTTGGGAGGGGGGAAACCTGGTGACCCTTCATAAATCTTTGAAAAAACTAAAAATTGACTTTAGAATAAAGATATAATAGAGGAAAAACACTGTCCCGCAAAAAAGCTCAAAATGAATTTTATTACACAGAAATCGCACAGGGTACAACGCTTGGCAAATTTCGCACAAATTGAAGAGTCTACTATAATGTGACAATGAGTTCATCTGTAACCATTTTACTGGTGCTAAAAAATACAGAAAAACTTGGACAGAACAAGCCTAATGTTAGCTCAACTTTCACATATCGACAGACAGTCAGGGACTAAAAATAAGACCCCCTTCTACTGTAACAGTTGTACAGTCGATGTTGCCAAAAAAGAGGACATACAAGATGTAGCTCTGCAAGAACAGGAGGTTTAAATTACTCGTATATTTCCCAAAATAGGTTTTAGCAAAACTTGCAAGTAAAATAAACTCAAGTCTGTTATTTCCCTGTCCCCTGCATGTTTACTGCTTAAGTTAGCAAAAAAAGCACACAAAAGGATACAGAACAGGTGGTTGTCATTACTGTATAATAGCTATATTGAGAATTTAACCCTTGTCCTGACTACAGATTGTCCTGTTGGCATTTTTTACACAATATTTTTTCAATAATTCCATGTCTTAATCAGGTCATAGACCGCTAACTTTTTTTTCCCTGTTCTGGTGTAGTTACTTCTGCATTCGTCGCATTAATTTTTATGCAATTAATTGATGCAAAATTACTTGTACAATGTATATTATAGAGTCAGTACTTAACACAAAAGCTCTTAAATACCATTGAAAACACTTTAAATCCGTATTGATCTGTTCAGTCTTCAAAATTACAGGTTGCTTAATTATTCTTCTGCAATTATTTAGCATTTAGGCAGGTAGGCAGGCAATTATTGCAAATTGCAGATGGGTATTTCTAACACTGTGACAGAACCAGCAAACTGAACTGGTGAAGCTGCGGTCATTCCCCTATTCTCCCCAGAACCATCAGCGGTTTTACCAGACAAAACACGACCGTCTGATGACGCGAACGCTGCTTCATTTGGCAGGAAAAGACGTCCCATCTGTGTAGTTCTGCTGGAGATTTCTTTTCTCGGCGGTTTGCCGTGTGTGAGAGTTGCCATCTTCACTGAGAAGGTGTCCAAGATAAGCACACAGATCAGGGAAAGGTCTTTACTGACGTACAATAGTCTCTATATGGGTGTACCAGGGGTTGTTGGTTTGAGCTTTTGTCTGCTCATCATGAGATCTGCCTGCAAGCTGCTTTTCATGCTGGTCTTTCATGCCTGGAAGAGGTATTAACCCTTGTTCTGCGGAACCCATATATATACAGTATGGGTTGCACATACAGTACCATTTATATACATGTAGTGCCCTGTATTTGTATGATTTGGGGGTGTTTCTCATGCAACACATCACACCGCAGGAAAACGCAACGAATGTAGAAATAACTACCCCACAACAGTGCAAAAAAAAGTTAAGGGTCTGTGACCTGATTAAGACATCAAATCATTTGAAAATACTGTGTAATAAATGCCAGCAGGACAAGGGTAATGACAAATTATGTAACAAAGACACTGTTTACATCATTTAAAGTCACATACAATGCATGGTACAAAATACATACAGCAGTTGCAAAAGTACCGGTATTTATTGAGATTTATAACATTTATGGAGGCACTGGCATCACATTTTTAAGCTATAATGTAAATGTAACCCCAGAACCAGACTGCATTCAACCCCCATACTCATTCTCAAATACTGAATGCTAAGGAGCAAAATCAGAGTGACTACAGTCTTTGATATGACTCCGCCGGGGATCAAACTCAAGACCTACCAAATGCAAGGCAAGCACTCTATGCACTTGGCCATTACACCAAATTCTTACTTTAAAATGTCATGCAGAAAACATAATAATGTAAGAAGCCCCACTCTTTGCTGAATGCTAAGCAGCAAAATAAGACTACATGACTTGTTTAAAGTCTTTGATATGACTCGGCCGGGGATCAAACTCTAGACCTACCAAATGCAAGGCTAACACCCTACTCACTTGGCCATTACACCAAATTCTTACTTCAAAATGTCATGCAGAAAAAATTATAATGCAAGAAGCTTGAATGTTAAGCAGCAAAATAAGACTACATGACTTGTTTAAAGTCTTCGATATGACTCGGCCGGGGATCGAACTCAAGACCTACAAAAATGTACCAAATGCAAGGCTAACACTCTACTCACTTGGCCATTACACCAAATTCTTACTTCAAAATGTCATGCAGAAAAAATGATAATGCAAGAAGCCCCACTCTTTGTACTAAAACCTACAAAAATCTCAACAAATGCTGCTTAGAGCTGACTTTCCCCCCTGCCAAGGGTGCAAAATGTACAACATGTACTTGTGTCTGATCCAACTTCAAATATTTCACCCGGGAAAAAACATTGCAAATATCGCTTTGTGAGCCAGGACTCTGCCTGGATAAGCCTTTAGAGCACCCCCACAGTCAAGTTTGGGCAAAAACAAGGAGATTCTGTGGATGACATCCCTCTGTAGACTCCACATCTGATGCAAGAGCACAAAGAAAAAAACAAGAATGGTTCCTTAGCATGAAAGTTCATCTGTGTTGGTAAATTTGGGTAAGTCCCAATTTACTCAGTGTTGGAAAGAACTTTTAACCCTTTTTGTCATAAGGATGGTTCCTAGATTGTCAAAAGAATACCAGAAATTTAGTAATATTCAGGGACAAAACAATGATTATCATGGCCAAGATGCCTTTAATTCCTGACGTATTCTAGAAGTGCACAAACTGACATTTGAGTGATACTACAACACTACACTTAAGGTAGTCTACCAGCAAAATTCATCCATTTAAAATGCAGGATATAGCATTATACATTATGTACTGTATTTCAGAGGGTCAAGATTTCAAAGTTGTCCTGCAACCTTTACAGTAGCGTGCATGTATAGGGTGAGCGACAACATACGTACAGCCGGGATTCAAACCCCCAACCTCATGGTCCAGAGACAGGGTCACTGACCTGTAGTGCTGAGAACCGGTTCACTGGACCGGTTCCGGACTTATTAAAAAAGAAACATGTCACATACCCCTTTTCTTTCCAAACCACCAAAAACATTCCATAGGTTGCAAAATCTGTGCTGCAAAATGAAGAAAACATTTCCATCGGGCATCGTCAAGTGTCGGCCTCCGTGTTATGTGGCCACAGTTTTGCCCAAACAATATTGCAAGGTTGCTAACATGCAATTTTGTATATATATGCCAATTGGGTTTAGGTCCGGACTGAACCTAAACCTCTGGACTTATTTCTGAACCTGAACCTTAATGTGGGTTTAGGTACACAGCACTATTGGCCTGACTGGACGACGCACACTACTATGATAATCTCCTGCACCTGTGTTTTCTGTTTATTCTGGTCCTGTTGTTGGTGTAAGCAGAGTCACGTTTATATGATTATTGGACATTCCTCGGGTTGCAAAGGTTCAGGGACTTTTAAAGACTTGCAAAGTGAGATGACTGTCTTGGGAATAATTATCAGGTAGCCTGCATGCCCTTTTCCGTAGAGCGTAATCGGCTGTTTTAATTCTACGTAGAGGGTAATTGGCACATTTTGCGTAGAGCGTAATTAGCGTTTTAATTCTGCGTAATGCGTTGTAGCCACTTTATAGAAAGTGTTATCCCTACTGTAGCGTAATACGTAGCCAGCTCTCAAAATTTAGCGTAGAGCATTGTTGGGACCCCCCCATGCAGGCCCCCTATCAGAGTAGAGACTCCACTCCAGTCAGGCTACCGGTAGATATTCTGATCAGGGTTAGCCTGGTTGCCATCCTCCATAGTTTACCACTACCTCCCTAAGTGTTGCTGGCTATTTAAACCACTAAGTCTTAGCCAGTGTCAAGGGAGCCATTGTTAAACTACGGAGGATGGCAACCTGGCTAGATCAGGGTTTCTAACAACAGAAACTCCAATGCTGGTA